TTGGGCTATGTCGGTCACTCTGGTTCTACTGCGGATATCCTCATTTCTAAGTTTATCACGCAGAGAAACTCGGAAACCGGCTTGTTCGGGAGGCTGGAAGTCGTCGAGTCTGCGTGCGAGATGATTCGTAATGACTCTCGAAAACAGCACGTAGACGCGGCTCAGAAGGGATATCGGTCTGTAAGTCTTCAAGAGGGCGTTGTCACCTTTCTTAAAGAACAAGACCACCGCACTTCTGCTCCACGCCTCCGGAGTAGTGCCACCATGGAGGACGGAATTAAAGAGCCTCTGAAGGACTTCAAGTACCGGTTTTCCACCCGCTTTCAGAAGCTCCGCTGTAATTCCATCCTCGCCCGGGGACTTGCCGTTTTTAAGGTGCTGGAGAGCCATTCTAATCTCGCTCACACTGACGTCTGGGATATCATCGGAATAGTGTCGGATAAGACTCGCTCTTGGATCGTTACTCACACTTGCGTGTGGCTCCAATGATGATGTGTACAGCTGCCCATAGAACCTCTCAATCTCACTCGGAATCTCAGGTGTCCCGGAAACGATGCTGCCACACTGTCTTCAGCTTTGACAGTTGGCTCTTACTGGCAGACAGATCTCTGGCAAAGACTTTGGAGCCCTGGTTCCGCTCAATCGCTTCTTCAATACGAGCAGTATTAAATTTGCGTAAGTCTCGCCGCATGCATTTGGAGATCTGTCTGTTCAGTTGCCTGTATGCTGTCAAATCTATTGACGATTGCAGCCTCACGCAGCCATGAGATTAAGAGTGTGATCGGAGAGCTTTTGTGTTCTTCTGCGGCCGGTCTTGCAGAAGAGAGCCTTAGAGCTCCGACCGCATGGATAGTTTCCACAAGCTTGTCATTCGTATTGTCCACTGCATTGCAATCTTCTAGGCACTGAAAGCGGTTACGTAACTGGAGCTGAAAGGTTTCGGGATTCTGGATTAGAGCACGAGGGGGACGGAGCGTTGACTTCATTAGACGAGACCTCTCCAACTTAATGTTTAGGTTCAGTGTGCCTATAACCATTCGGTGATCGCTGCCAGTTTTCACCCTTGCGATCACTGAGACATCACTGAACAGTTGGCGTCTGGTCGTCATAATGAAGTCAATCTCATTTTTTGTCGAACCGTCGGGGCTCGACCAAGGTCCACTTCCTGTGGGGCCGCTTCTGGAAGAAAGAGTTCATCATAAAGAGTCCCTCTTTCTCAATGAAGTCGGCCAGCTGCTGACCCCTACGGTTCCGTTACCCTACTCCAAATTTCTCTAACTTCAGCTCACCGCTTTCTCTTGTGCCTAGTTTTGCGTTGAAGTCTCCCATCAACACCGTGTAGTGGGTTTTGGAGGAATGCATGGCTCTAGAAATATCCTCATATCGGGATGTGCCGAGGTTGGTGCGTAAACCTGTATGACCTTCAGCGAATACCGTTTGGTGATTCTGAGTATCATGTACGCGACCCTCGTCGACACACTCCCAATCTTTACAACGTCGTGGACGAGAGACTTGAAGACGATAAATCCGACACCTCCTTGGGACAGATGGTCGCCCTCCCGGTGATAGAACAAGTTGCCGGACTCGAGGATTACCGTGTCCTCCCCCTCTCTTCGGACCTCGGATAATCCAATAATATGCCAGCGCAACTTGTCTACCTCTTCTTCCAACTCCAGTATCTTCTCGTCAGTCCTCAGGGTGCGTGCGTTATAAGTTGCCAGGTCGAGTCGTCGTAGGTGGCACCCAACCTCCACCGGAGATTCTTAGCACCCCTGCCCCGCCGTTACCATGGTTGCCACCGTAGCCAGGAATAGCGGGGCCGCCAGGGACTGGGGGCCGTTTGTTTGCGTCGTTACTCATGGAGGGATATTTGCCATAGTTGCCACGCTTGGCGAGCGGGTTGGCAACCGTAGTTTTTTATTATATCACAGTTGTTATCAGGAAGATGCTGCTGCCCATCTCCTGCCTGTCTCTCTCTGTCGCCTCTTACGACACCCACGGGAAGATATGGGGTAGTGGATATTCTCAACCGCCACTACACGGCACCTTTTTTGCAACCACCACCTTTTTAGCAACCTTTATTACATCAGTAATGACTAGTGAGGTGAACACGCAAATATATAATACGCGATAATGTGACACGTCGTTTTAATACCGTATCGGATACACGTATCGTGATCGGATCAAAATACGTCAACATATAAAGAACGATATGCCGATACACTGACATGATATGGTATGTTTGAGTACGATACAACATCCTTGAAATGGGCGTCAATGCAGTACTCGACATATGTTTGATCATGATAAGTCAAGATAATCAATTTGTGGACCCGGCCATATTAGGCAAACTAACCCTGCCTGCGTACACATAGTAAGTAATATACTTACAAAAATATTGTTTTTTGCAAAAAGGAAGTAAACATACGACGGTTTGGTAGCACAGAGTAAATAGGCATGTACTTGAATGAGACTCTGCCGGCCGCGAGTTCGAATCCCAACATCCGGAACAAGTATTTGTATGACTTACAAATAATTATTACGGGTGTGAATATTTACTCGTGTATATAAAATACCTACACGCTAAAGTATAATACGGAGATTAGCCAATCCCCCAGAAACGAACAGCTTGATTACTCCAGATTAGGGTTCGGCACATGGATTAAGAGGACTCTTTCCCTGCTTTTATGGCATTAATGGTCTTCCTAGGTTTTGTTTACAAAACTGCAGCGACAAACGAACTCACAGTCCACCAGGTGGTAAGTGAAGTTCAAGCAAAGGAGGCTACGATCTACTCCGCAAGGTTACAAGTGCCTGCGTGCAAGTGCGTGTCACCTTTAAGGAATAAGATGGAATGCTTTACAGCCTGTATCTCTGTACCCTTCAGTCTGGAACACAACAGTTTAAGCACTGCTATTTGCCGGCAGAAATAGACAAGGTGCTGCTACCAAAACACTCCTAGACACAAAACGTATCCCACCAACTAGAGGTGTTAGTAATTTTATTCGATAAGTCTTTAGGTAGTATACTACGAGTTGACCATATAATTTAGATTTGTTTACTTTTAATATCACACGTGTGGCATAGCTGCTCCACAATTCTACACGTGCACGTATTTTAGAAAATTATTCTTAAGAATAATCCCAAGATAAATCCCAGCTTCAGAGAAAAGAGCAACTTTGCCCGAGCGCGCATGTGGCGTAGCCAATTGAGAAGCATCGACTTTAGTGGGTTGAGCGTCACTACCAGACCTGCTTAACGCGAACCACTTTCAAAATGTAGCATTGAGTGATGTCTTTTTTTTGCGCCCGAAGCAATTAAAGGGATACCCTATACGTAGGGAGGCGGAAAATGCATTACGCATACCACGATAGCCGGTCTATCGTGGTTATGAGGGACTCACTGTCCTACCGGGGACCCTAAGTGATACCCTCTAAAAAACCGCCTTTGGGGACAGGCAACCGGCTGATTAAACTGTATTGTGCCTTATCGTGAGCGACCCTCTTTTGGGAAAAGAGGGCGCAGGCGGTTACGAGCCGCTGAGGGAGTGCCTACGAAGGCAAATTAATATTAGTTAATATAATAATTTAATTTGAGTTGGCCTGAGCCGCCAGGAGGCTGTTCAGATCGTTAGTTAATTTATTAGGCGGGTCCGAGAGAGTTTCTCGGCCTGCTGACTCGATAGCGAGAGGGGGGTGGGGCTGCATAAGTAGCTGCCTCACGAATTAAATGATTTGAGTGCGACTCTGAGGCTTTGAAGAAGTTCTCAGAGAGTTTTTGGAGAAATTGTTGGATTGTGGGGAGCTCTAGGTCCCGATGAAGGTCAGCATTACGGACGTACCAAGGTGCGTTCGCAGCTCGATGACAGAAAAGGTTTTGAACTATTTGGAGTTCATTAATGATTTTAGGGTTGGCGTGGGCAAAAACGGGGCCCGCGTATGACATGACTGGTCATATACAGACCTTATAAAGGGTACGCTTGTTTCTAAGGGACATTTTACTGTGTCGGCCCAACATACAGTCGAGCCTACTCAGATAGAACCGTGCGTGACGGGTTACTCTTTTGACGTGGGGCCTGAAAGTGAGCCCTGTGTCTAGAGTGACACCTAAATATTTGGTGGTCGTATGCCAGGGGACAGGGGTCCCTAGCATACGTATTGGTGGGGTGTTTTTAAGACAGCGTCGGTTATAATCGAAGTGAACGGCAGAGCTCTTCTCCGGGTTCACATCGATGCGCCATTTTTTGAACCAAGCTCCTAGGTCATCAACTGACTTTTGGATCTTGTTCCGTATGAAGGGTAGTGAGACACCTTTGCAGTAGATAGCAGTGTCGTCTGCGAAGAGGGAGAGCTGAACACCTTTCGACGGGATGGGAATGTCGTTGGTGAACAGGATGTACAGCAGAGGAGCAAGTACTAAGCCCTGAGGGACACCAGCCTTGATAGTTCGCTGTGAAGATAGCGTCCCTTCGTGTCTAAAACGAAAGGTACGATGCTTTAGGTAGGAGGCCACGAGACGTACTAGACGATCGGGGAGACCTATTTTGTAGAGCTTGTAGATAAGGCCTGTATGCCAGACTCTTTCGAAAGCTTTAGCTATGTCGAAAAAGACCGAGTGATGTCTGTTGCCGCATTTATTATATACTAGAGTTGCAATAATAATAAAATATTCTTGCGAATAAGCCTGATATTGTGCTGACGGACCGGGCAGTCTCTGGATAAACACTACTTCCTTCCCTACTACTTTTGCCTTTCGAAGATTTAAAATTAATACATTTTTTTTAATTATTTTAATTTAAAGAATTAAAATAAGAATAATATTCGGCTAATCGGCCAGCAAGCCCGCAGCATATTTGGTATTAAGCGTGTGGTCGAATATACTATTCGTTGCAAGTTTAATATAATATACTAAACAACACAGTGGCGAAAACGAATACTTGACTTTTAAATTGACATTGATAATTTGCACGCACATTGTGTTTTATTGTGCAATTTCCGTTAATGGTAAGAAAAAATTCTTGCTTAAGCAAGTTTTCGTCACTGTATTATTTGGTAAATATTAGACTTGCAACGATTAGTATATTCAACCACAAGCCGAATACCGAATATTCTGCGGACTTCCTGGCCGAATAGCCGAATATTAGACAAAAGTAGTAGAAAAGGAAGTAGTGTTTATTCAGAGCATCTTTTTTCTGAAGCTGCGAATGTCTACGACAAAAAAAGTAGTAAACTAGTCTAGTCTTCTTGCACAATAATCTTTCACTTCTAAATTTCCATTACGATAATTTAAGTGCATAGGCATTTATTTCATAGGTTTTTTTGTTAATTTTTATAATACGGAAGTTGATTGTATTGATTGTGAATAGATATTTTCATTTTACTCAGTATTCGGTAGAACAGTACCTAGATATTTGATATTCGATCGAATAAGACAAAAGTACGTAGCTGAATAGGCCGAGCATCGAACAATAGCTGACAATTCGTTGCAAGTATAGTAAATATTTACTGCAATGAAACTCTTACTTTCTTTTTTCAGTCAGAGCCAAATTACGGATTTAGTTACGCCGAAAGCAGTCCAGTCCTCGGCGGCAACAAGATTCACAGCGAAGTCCGAGACGAAGACGTCGTAGTGAGCTATTACTCGCCCGCGATACCCTACGGCACAATAAGATTTGTGGAATACAATGCAGACCCCGTTTCGGACTTTAACGCAGACGTCAAAAGAGTCGGTCAATTCTCTCACCCGCAACAGACCTTAACTCCTGTTATTACCAAAGCTGTTGCATCGGCAGACATTTCTCAAGCCTCAATGTTGGCCCCCGAAACAATTTCCTCTCATATAGACTATAGCGGTCTTGGCGGCTATTGAGATTACGGTCTGGATTTGGGTGGCCTAGATAACATTGGCGAAATCGAAGGTCACGGCCATTGATAGCACTGAATAAAACTCAACACCACAATTTTGAAACGCTTCTGCTACAATCCTAAGATGAACGAGTCGTAACAATTCAAGGGAGACCTGTAGATTTACCTTCAATACACTATTACACAATATACTATTCTGTTTCTAGAGGCAGCATAAATAATTCAAGTGTATTTTTTTATAAAACTGAAGTGGTAACCAAACTCATAATTGACCTGATGGTAAATGGCTAATGCAGTACTTTTGAACCCTGTAAACAACTTTAAACAAAAAGTCAACTTTTAACAGATGCATTGTAACCTCTAAGGAATAAGACGGGATGCCTCACAGCACGTAATTACACCGGTTTTCTGACCTTCAGACCGCAACACAGCAGCGCGCGGACTTCAGGACTGCAAAAGAGGCCTACCAAAATTAAATAATAAAAAAAATATGTGAATTAAAAATAACCGTAAATAAATAAATAACTAATAAAAAACAATATAAAATAATTTTGTCCATTTATTTATATATATCCGTTGAACAAGTTAAACAACACGTCAATAATTTACTACATTTATTCGTTACTAAATAGTAATACCAACGACACATTCATATTCATTTTATAAATGCACATGTTGAGCAGTTACGCTTACTGCACACAGGCACCGCACAGAAATACTAAGGAAAGGTAGAAACATGGAGGACCATCTTAGAGAATAGAAATATGTGCCCCGAACTGAAATAGGGTACTTGGCGCTCATTTCAATTGATATACATTTTGCAAACTGGAAACGTATTCATCATCATGTGGTAATACGATTACAGGACGTTATCTATAAGTCCACCAGATCGAATTTCTGTCACAGCCGCCAGTCTCATCAGAGAAGAAACATCTGCGCAGGACAGAATTATAGTGGGCAAGCACAGGTGCACTTTCTACTCCCTCACTCTTACGGTCCCATGGGGTACCAACCCCACACGACCAGGGAAAGATCAGGCGCAGGACCAACAGCTGAACGTGCTTTCCGAGGCACGAGAAAGACAAACTGAAATCTTTCTGACTTCGGACAGCTATTAAGAATACGGATTTCGACACCGATATCACGTGGTTAGCAGTCCGCCTGCGAACATTAGACCAACAAGGAAGTCAAATTTAAATGGCGGTATAAATTGTTGTATATTCATAAATTTATTATTTGTATATTTTTAATAATTGAATAATTCTAATTTAAAACGCATAGAGCAACACAGGCAACCGACGGACCGGAAGGACGTTGAGTTAGTTCCGGGGGGAAATCAAGAGTTAGTTTAAAAACAATCGTCTGTCACTACGAAACTCACACACAACAATTAAAACAATATAGCAACAATTTCACACACATATAGATACATTATAATATTCATTAATTGATTGAGTCATTAATTGACGCCATATTGTACTGGCGTGCCGCTGCCATATTGTGTCGGATATCTCACCACATTAAAACAATTTTTAATTGTGTGTACGCTGAATGAAGTATGCCAGAATTTGTTTTTATTTATTCAAATACAAAAAAGAGCTTAAACAGTTAAATCTGTACGGTGAGGAGAATGAAAAAAACTTACTCATTCTTTGTTACTGAGGAAGAGTAGCATATTCAGGTAAGTTATAGAATTATTGTAGTTAACCTAAAAATAAATTATTTGTACTAAATGATGTAAATTTCTATTTTAAATTAATGTTTGACACAGCCAAATTACGGTGTACGTTTGCATTATGGCGCAAATCTATGATGTCATATACCGACCAATGTTTTGAAACGAACTCACTCAACAGCGACAACTCGGATCAGTCTCTCGACCGATCCGCATATTGTATGAGATTGAATTACGTTTGTATTGTATAATTATATGAGAGATTGTATGTAAACAAATCCGAAACCACACGACCATTATTATAGTAATAGTTAAGTTTAAAAAGAAGTAAATAGTAATAATGTGATTAAAATTATTGATATATTAAAGGACGCCATCTTTTTGTAAATTTGTCGTGACAGATCTTTTTTTACTGCAAAAAACCGAACAATTCGGCATTTTTGTAGGACGTCGATTCAGCCGCGCAACTAGTTTAAGTCTAGTAAGCAGTGCGGCTACTCGTATGGTTACTGCCCTCCGGTGCGCCGGTGGCCCGTGTTGATCAATACTTAAAACGGAACGGAAAACCGACAGTTTTAAAACGTTACTACAAAAACCAAATATAATATGTCGCACTCTATTAATAATAAACTGTCTGGTACACAGAGCGAATTACTATTACCGACAGGTATTATCTTATTTAGCAATTTCTAGAAATATTTCACTTAATCTGCAATCTCTCATTTTAAACCTAACTTTGTTATACTATGATATTCGCTAATTGATGCTTTTCGTGAACACTTCAGTTGAAATCCAATAGGAGATGATCCACCATATCTACCCTCCATAAAAAAATACGTAGTGCAATGTTACAATTGCACCGCGTGTTTCATGTGCGTGTGAGTGCGTCAATATCAGTGCTACGTAACTTTGTAAGCGCGTCCTTCACCAAACAGCCACAAGCAAATGCGGTCCACCAAGTATGCGAACACCATATCCGCTATGAGAACTTGCACTAATATTAGTCGGTACTGAAACAAAATCATGCGTTTAAAATTTTTGGAAGTAATGTAGGTCCGTATTTTTATTATAGAATAAGGGTGACACACGAGCACGCAGTCCACCTGATGGTAAGTGGATGCTGCGGCCCATAGACATCTACATTTATCCTCGATTAGGAATCAAAACGCAGATACGTTGTCACCCCAGAGGATTAAGATGGAATGCCTCGTTTCCAGTAAAAAATGGTCTCCGGATCTCTACATTCACCATACGAAACACAGCAGTATTAAGCTGCTATTTTACGCTGGTATTCTGAGAGAGCGTGGTCCTTCCCCGGTCGAGCCTACCCATTCGTGCTACAATCATAATATAGCTGCAGCGTGACTCTACCACGCTCTACCGTACGACCGTGTGGTGGCGTTGTTAGAACATCCACTACCCCACATCGTCCCGTGGGTATATAAAGAGGCGACATTAAGAAATACACCAGGAGATGGCCAGCAGGGTCTTCATAATAAAGAGTAAATCATTAAAAAGTACGCTCGTCAGCCCGCCTGCCAAGCGTGGCAACTTCAGCATATTTCCCTTCTACGAAGCACTCTACGGGGAAGGCCCGTGTTCAGCAATGGTTTTGATAGGCTGTAACGGTGACGGAATGCAGTTCGCCGCCAACTGAAATATTTAGTATTATTTTATGTTATAAGACGTTAGGTAGCTAAGAAAATCATATTTTTAAGCTTAAACTTATTACGTCAACGAATGGAATAGAACATTTGCATCTGATCTCCAAAGCCATAAATAATCGACAAGATGCAGGATAATTCTTGTTTTTTAAATATATTGTGTGTGTATATCTGTACGAACTATTTCGAACCCTCCATAACTATAAAAACGATTAAACTTCCAGACTAGTAATTTAGCATATCTAATAAGAACCCCTTAAATACCTAGAATCAATTATAGTTCTAGGGGTCCGAAAACTGTAATTTTTATTTAAGTGCTTTAAGCACTTAAAATTAAATGCTTAAATAATTGAGTGCTTAATAATTTAAGTTGTTTATTACCACGAGTTTAGTTAAGTAAAACATCATGAGGATGTCTGAAGTCATCTCTGAAGAATAAAATATTTCGAAGAGATGTGAAATCGGCTGTCACGCACTGAAGTATCGCCGGTGGACTAATTACTCCATATTTCTTTAAAAAATTAGTCAGGTAGGTTGAACATTTTAACACTTACTAAAATATCTTCAAAAATAAATATATACTCACATCAGGTGGAAAATATACAATCTCGAACATATTCGAAAGATCTGGAATGAGTCCAGCAGCGAGCGCCAGCACCGCGCCACCCGAGAGCATGATACTGTATAGAAGCGGTTTGTTTTCACGCAAACCCTCCATAAACGGCTCCCCCTGTACGAAAAAATATACTTGTCAATTTTTCTAAATTTTCAGCTACTTAACCTGCTATTTAGCAGACACTATTATGAAAGTACGGTTTCTTTTAGTTATACCCGTATTTTCAATTTTCAATATTGGAAACAGTGGCACAGGTATTAAAAAGCTTCCAAAATATTTTAAAGACATTCAGGTAAGGCATTATGTTTATGCAAAAAAAAATTGCCGAAAAACAAGCACATAGTCGAAATATGGGTAAGTAATTGAATGTTGTGACCAATAGATATCTACATCATCTATTCGCGGTCTTAGGTTCATTGGCGGCGGAGACTTAGATCAGATCCGCCGCTGGGGTCAGGAAGGCTGGTGCTTCCGAGAGCATAAAACATTAGCGTTCAATTTGGGACACGTTATATAGTTCGAAGAACCTATAACCGATGGAAAATTAGGTTATTGAGTAGAAGCTTCGCAACCGGTAGGAAGTGAAGGGTAGCTCCTACTAGATAGAGTGACAACCTGGTAAGACCTGGTATGCAGATGGCTCAGGACCGTCATTTGTGGCACTTCTTGAGAAACACCTATTTTTAGCAGTGGACAGGACACATATCAGCCTATCACAACATTTATGATGACCATTTAACTTGGATATAAGATTATTTTGTTACTTACTCTGTAATTAATAGCAAAAGTCGATATCTGTAGAGCCATCGATATGATATAGACTGTACTGTTGAGTAGGTCTGGAGCGAATTCACGTTCTTCATCCTCTGCTAGGTCCATATCTAACTTTGGTTTAGTGTCTCTGCAATAGATGATTAATAAATAGCAAACATAACAAACATACAAGATTTTTAGAAAAAAAAAAGAGTACTAAATGTTTATCCTCTAACATTACTTTTAAGTTCTATTTGCATTATTACAATTTTACAGTTTTTCAAAGCATGTTTATTCAATATTTAAAAAAATATTGTTTAGGTTGTGAGAAAAAATATCATAAGGGCCACAACAAAACAAAAAATAGTTTCAGAAAGAACAGCTAGAATGTAGTTCACGTTGTGACATAGGACCGGCTGATGGATTCATTACAATAGACCTTTCCATGATAACGGGATTTGTTGTTTCCGATCTAGGTGAATATACCGTCGACGCTGATTTTTATCAACTGAAATATTACTGTATGGGTGTATTTTAATTTGAAATTTTGTAAATTTTGCTCTAAGTAAACTCTACACTTTTAAGACTTTATTGGCCCTCCGAAGGTATTTTAAAATTGAGATACATTGCCATAACCAAACCAAAAGTGGGTGGCTTATTTTTTTAAATAATTTACTTTCTAATGTATCAGGTACACCGTGAAGTCTCGTCGTAAGATAATCCATACCATATCATCCCATGGGTATCGTAAGAGGCGACAAGGCAAAGGAAAATGAAACAAAAGATTCAGAACAGCATCTAAAAGATGTTTATGGCTTTTAGATGACGGTATAGCCATCCTGATTATGCTGCAGGTAAAAAACCGAGCGTTCAGCAGCAAACTTTGAAAGACTGTTATTATGACGATAGGACTGTGATGATGATGATGATGATGATGATGAAAAACTAAAGGCAACGAAGGCCAATCCGCCTTATAAGCGTGGCGATTAAGACAAATACTTCCTTTGCGTGAGGCGGATGTTCAACAGCTCGCTTTAACAGGCTGACGAAGAAAAGAAAGAGAAGGAAAACAAGAAGGATAAATACCTGTCCGGCGACCGTATCTTTGCCTCATGCACTAAATACACCAGACAAAGGAAGTGCACAGCGAACTGTGTTAGCACCGTCATTATGGTATACACGTTGAAAATATTCGGTAGAGGTCGCTCTTTTGACAGTTGCTTTAGTGGCTGCAAAACGTTACCGAATAATAAGAACTGTCCGAAAAATTAAACTTTTAATATAAACTAAAAGCCGCCTTCAAGGAAATAAAAGCTTTTTTTTAAATAGAATATGGGTGACAAACGAGCACACAGTCCACCTGATGGTAAGTGGATGCTGTGGCACATAGACATATACATATAGCCTCGATTAAGAAAATGCAGATAGATGCGTTAGCAACCCTGAGAACTAAGATGGAATGCCTCATTCCCAGAAACCAGTCAAAAGGGTCCCCGGTTCTCTACACTCACTATACGAAACACAGCAGCATTAGCTGCTATTTTACGCTAGTATTTTGTGAGAGCGTGGTACTTCCCCGATCGAGCCGACCAATTCGTGCTATAATCATAATATGACTGTAACATGGCTCTCTACTACCTCCAAAAAATGAATAAAATCATGTCTAAATAACAGCTTCAGAAGACAGAGATAAGTTAAAGCTCTATAAATAATCCAAAATAGCAGTATCACAAGGTCAAGGTAACGCTGGAACGTTGTCTAAATAGTTGAATTAAAAACTTTGAAGCATGATTCCCGGTCGAGTGATAAACGACTAATTTGTGCTACAGTCATCGTAAAATATTTACATTCCAATTATTACAAAAATAAAAAGATTTATTTTATATAAAAAAATCATTGTGGCTAAATCTGAAGAGTCCTCGGAATAGTTGCTGCGCTCATGAGAAGCACAGCGGATTTCATTTCATCGGAGTTTTACATGTATTATCCATGTTTCATATCAAGAAAGCATAAAATTATTATAATCTACTAAAATATTACTTAGATAATTTCTAGCTTCTCGTTACGGGAAGACTACAGTTAAGTCACAACGTATGTTACGCACCTAATTTTCTATGAAGAGACGACGCTAGGAAAGCAGTTACAACATTAGTGATCGTGATAAGTCTCAGTTGGCAATTATGCGCATTGTGCCTTGCAAGAATGCAGAATACAATGTAAATTAAGAAAATAAGCAACTAAACTATTATTAATTTACCTTAGATCTCGAAATGAAGAGGAAACATGATGCAAGTAATAAACTCTGCAATGTGGCCTGCGTGTCGCTGAACTTTATACCGTCGAGGTACAGTACCGACTGACTGTACGCAAGGATAAGTGCGTTCAGAGCCAAAATCTTAAACATTTGTAAAGTCGTCACGAGTGTGCATCGGCCTTGCTTGATGATATGACAAACTGAAAGGCAGATATTTGTAAATCACCACATTCTTGGGTCCCATTTATATTTAATTAATAAATAATTTAAAAAAAACTACACAATAAGTCAGTGTTAAGATATGTATTTTTATTATCGCGTTTAGTTGAAGATTTATTCAAGAACTTACAAACGCCACGATTTAGTATCACTTTAAAAAGTTTAAACTTTACGGAAAATTATCGGCAAGACAGTTCGAAATGCACTCATAATATTTGATAATAGAATTATCAAATATAGCTTTTAGTGTAGGTCTTCAAGATGAGAGCTTTTACTGAGCTAGTGCGTTTCACCACCTAAGACTACATCGCCATTTATATTTACCATCAGGTGGGATTATAACGTAAGTGCTGGAATATCAGCACTTATTTTATATAAAATAGTTTTAAAATATTTAACACTTATTCAACTCAATAGTCAAGTTATATTTAACAATGATGTTCAGTAATATCCTCAGAATATTTATGAAACAGTTGGTTATGAAAGAATTTTTTCTTGTTCTAGCTAACTAACTTTGGGAACATCCAGTTAATTGATATGAGGTTTTACAAGGATGTCCCAAAACTTCACGTCAAGAATTTTCCGGCGGGTATAAAAATATTTTATTTTTATTTTGTAAAAGGACTTTACTTTTAAAACCTAAACTAGCTTACCTAAAAAAGAAAGCAAGAAGTCAAATGTGCCATTTTGAAATCTTGACTAAATGGGCCATATTTTGAAATCATTTCACAGGACAGTTTAGTACATTTTTTTAAGAAAGTTGTAAAAGAGCGTTTTTCATTGGCATATAACCGTAAAATTAGGAAGTTTATGAGCACAGTACTTAAAGATGTGGTCTTGATATAGATTTTCAACATTTTCAAAAATATGCTTATTAACATTTAACTAACTGACATGGAAATTTTTTCTAGTATTAACTCGCCCCTCACGCGATACATGCTTGACCTGGAGTTTTCGGACACCTATACGTATTTTTCATAATTGTTAATTTTTTATTATTATTATGGGGTTTTCATAGAGTATTCTCATCTGGTTGGGATAAATAAATATATAAAAGGAAATGATAAATATACATAAATATATATTTCATATACCGTAAAATGCCCTAACTTTGGACGAATTTAGAAGTTTTTGTGATGTTTCTTGACACGCATAGAAAAAGTGACATATCACATATAAAGAAAAAAACTGTAAATTAGAAATTTTGCGCCTGACAAAATAGCCCACTATAGTCTACACATAATATTTTCTGATAAATAAGCTTCGAAATATCCAGGCAAAGTTGCCTTCCTTTCCTTTACTTTGCCTAGGCAAAAATATCGCAGTTTAAAATGCGTTTCCAAATAAACAGATTTCGTCCCCGTAAAGTATTGGTTTATTATTTCTACTTATCCATAACATATAGTGTAAAACTTTAATTTTTTTTTAATTAAGAAGGAAGGCAATGTTTAGCAGACATTTTGAACATTTAGTCATTTTATAGGAAATCTTTCAGGGTTGTCACCTTGTAACCATACGAAAATAAAACAACTTATTTGTTAAAATGGGTCATTCCGTTTATCCACCCTAAGGTAAAATAAGTTAAATATGTTCTTTATTATTAGCGTAATAAAGTAGTATACATTTCAGGATGGATAAATGGAATAAGTCGTTAAAAATTCAAACATCTTTAATGTTACTTTTTTATTACGTACCCAGGTAATAATTTGTACTTACGCAATAATATTTATGATTACAAAATAATTAATATATATAAAGTGCATAGGTAATCTTCTATTCCAATTAGGTACATTTCGATTAGGTTATAATAGTTTGACAACTTTGGCATGATTTTAGACTTATAAATCAACATGATAAGGCGGGTTGGTACATAAATAGCTAAATTAACAAATTATACTTAAAAACATTTGAAAATTACGTTTCAAAGCTGAAATTATTAATCAATAAAAATAAATACTATCTTCAACCTGCATTAAAACATATTCGTCAGGATTTTTCATGACAAAATAGGTGTATGTTAACTTTATTGAAAATGGTACGCCTGGAAATCCCGAATTGCTTTTGTGATACGATGATAACTTCTTAGATTTTATGAGACCAATCACTAAGTTTAGCATTTTGGTAGAATAATCCACGTACTGCCGACGATTTTTTCATTTATTTTGGTTTTGAAAACTGGTGTTTTTCTTAATGATTTCTTAAATTTACGCGAACACTACACATTGAATGAAACTATTATTTACGGATTTTATCGCGTTTAATTACTTTAATTTATTTTTATTATTATCCCGACGTTTCGGGTGCTTTACAGCGCCCATGGTCACGGGGGGGGGGGGGACTGAGATGTTTGACGTCCCAATGTCATAGTTAGTCCGGCTACCTTCAGTTTTTTAATATTAATTTTTGGTCCGATTTACGCAAAACGAGCTTATAGTATCATGAAGTCTTGCAGTGGTATGCTTGGATTTGGGTTTAATTTTGTTAATTATAGGATCCCAAGCAGATGGTAGCACCCAACCATCTTCTCTATTGAAATTTGGATGTTTTTTAATTTCAATAGCCTCGCGTATCATCCTTGGTAGGAATCGGTGTTCTTTTGCGAGAATTTGTGGTTTATCAAATCTAATGTAATGGTGGGGACGATCTTGAACATGTTCGCAGACTGCAGACTTCCCGGAGCGTCGGTGCTTCACATCAGCTATATGTTCCTTCACGCGGGTTTTTATAGATCTCTTTGTTTGACCTATGTAAGAGAGACCACATTCACAATCTAGCTTGTACACACCTGCATCTTGAGTTTATTGTTCTGGCGTTGACTTGGATGTTTGGCATTTGATTTGATCGTTAATTTTTGGTATTTTTCTATTTGTTTATTTTTGACAATTTAATTTTGAAAAAAAAATTTACAATGAATGCAAAAATAAACAAATAGAAAAATACAAAAATTGCATTTTTCTCATTCCTATTCCTATCTGCATTTTTAGACCACCTTAACTCCATAAACTCTAAAATACAATTCACAATGGAGTTAGAGGCAAATAATTCTTTAGCTTTCCTAGATGTTTTAGTCATCCGAAATCCTGATAACACTATTGGTCACACTGTGTATAGGAAAAAGACCCATACCAACCGATATTTAAATGGTGAATCTCACCATCATCCTTCACAGTTAGCTACCGTGGGTAAATCTTTGTTTCAGAGAGCACGAGGGATCTGTGACAGAAAACATCTGGCCACGGAGCTTCAGCACGTCAAGCAAGTATTGCAAGACAACAAGCTTCGGGTCCCGCGCCTAAGTCACAGTGAACGAGTGAAGCCGGCCACAGTCGAGCGCGCGCCTGCTCTACTACCATATGTTAGAGGAGTCACGGACAAGATTGGCTACATCTTGAAGCGAGCGTCCATTAAGACATACTACAAGCCGCTGAAGAAGATTAGTCAATTTTTACCATCGATCAAATGTAATATTCCTCTACAAGATGCAGGTGTGTACAAGCTAGATTGTGAATGTGGTCTCTCTTACATAGGTCAAACAAAGAGATCTATAAAAACCCGCGTGAAGGAACATATAGCTGATGTGAAGCACCGACGCTCCGGGAAGTCTGCAGTCTGCGAACATGTTCAAGATCGTCCCCACCATTACATTAGATTTGATAAACCACAAATTCTCGCAAAAGAACACCGATTCCTACCAAGGATGATACGCGAGGCTATTGAAATTAAAAAACATCCAAATTTCAATAGAGAAGATGGTTGGGTGCTACCATCTGCTTGGGATCCTATAATTAACAAAATTAACACGTTAATTGCCAAAGCTAAAATTGGAGTTTTCTGCTGGTGGCCCAAAATTTTTTTTTTTAATGAAATAACTCTTATGTACAGCAAATACTATTTGCGGGTGTGTTTATGGTTTTAGTATATATATTTAATATTTTACATAATATAGTTATATATCACTCGACGTCGCGTGATGGGCCATGTGGAGTGTACATTTATCCTTAGGGGCCCCATCACGCGACGTCGAGTTTTGGGATACCTTAGCACTTTTGTGCAATTATGAGTTCAAATGTAATGAAATTAAATATTTTTAGTATCAATAATTTTTATTTGAATTATATAACACAAAAAATAACAAAATATCAAAGAAACATGCAACATAAAAAAATCTTCTAAATATTTTAGAGCCAGCCAGTACAATAAGTAAGTTGACCCAAAAGTTTACTAGCTAAGGTATATGAATTATAAAAATTATCCATATAGATAAAGTGGCCAACGTCCAATTTATTTTGCATCAATTTTTCAACAATTTTTTCGGTGTGGCCCTTTCCGGCTGTTTCATCTTCTGTGCTGGCAAACACGTGGAAATTTAAAATCAAGCCATCCAGCATGCGGCGCTTTCATTTGATGTATTGTCGGAAAAGCTTCAAGAATATCCGATTCGTGCAACAAAATACGTTTTGATAGCGCTCGCAAAGGTATCTCGTTTGATCGTTTCGTACCCCTAGAGGTTGATGATCACTCATTATAAATTTTGTATTATTATAATTAGTATCACTTTATACTACAAAAAATACGTATTATTTGTTCACAACTAACTAAAAACAAACAAGAAAGCCGTCCGGCTCGAGAGGCGACGCTAAGCGAACTAACCTGGAACTATCCAATTACGTAGCACTAAAACTATCGCATGATTCGGATGGCCACGCCCACTTTACGATAGCTTAGTCCTTTCTCTAGAGGCCCATAAAAAACACCGTTGCGATAACGCTCCGGCCCAGGCGACGTCGCGTGAAGGGCCAAATTGAAGAGTACTGGGAACACGCGACGTCGCGTGATTGGCAATTAACGTGTTAAACCCAAATCCAAGCATACCACTGCAAGACTTCATGATACTATAAGCTCGTTTTGCGTAAATCGGACCAAAAATTAATATTAAAAAACTGAAGGTAGCCGGACTAACTATGACATTGGGACATCAAAC